TGGGGAGGAGGCAGGTGTGTAAGATTTAGAATCCTTCTTAAAGAGCCAATATGCCCCTGGCCTGAAACTTTGGATTTTTTTTCCTAAACTTTGTATTGTTTCAATGGGACATTTTAATAGAATTGATAATGGTCAGCCAGCTTTTAGATGATGTTTAAATTGGGATTAACAGGCTGAATAGTCAAGTATAATAATTGAATGGATTACTACAGTGTCTTTTGAATGACTCACTGTTGAGTTTGCAGTTTGAAGTGCTTGCCAAAAGAAAAGATGTTACCATGCATAGTTCTAGATTTTTATTGGTCGTAAGTTTAATTAAAGCATGTGATGGAATCTCTTTCCTCTGCAACTCCAGGACCCAAAGCAACAGAGCACTCATTTTATACCTAAAGCCCCCATAAAAGGTATAGCTTCGCCATGATTAAAATGGAGCAGTCAACACAATAGGCCCTTGAACTTTGGGAAGAACTCTTGCAGGGCCTGTGCTCATGCCGTGTCTGGGAGTCTAATCGCCAGAGCCGTTGCGTCCCAGCCTCTTCCCCCGGACTGTGGGAGGTGAGAAGTCCCTGTGCAGTTGGATGCTGGGCTGACCTTGTGCGCCTGCCACACACTGTGAGAGGCTGGGACTAGGGGAGGTGGGCAAGCAGTACGAAGCAAATGTGCCTGGTTTTGTGATCCACCTGTGGATCGTTTCCTCCCAGGGTGTGGGCAAGAATGCAGGGGATTCTGTGGGGAGAGCTGAGCCTGGGTCCTTCCCTTCGGCAGGATCCAAAAAACACTTCTTCCTCCACCTCTCCAGTCTATCATCCGGGGACGTGCACGGTAGAGTGGCCCCCTGTAACCTTGTCAGGAAAATGCTCCAGGTAAGACACCAGCCAGGCTCCTCCTAATTCTGAAGTGTGTGGTCATCTATAATTCACTCATGGTTTCAACAAGTGCAGGTTTCCCCTCTATGCAAAAGTAGAGGTTCCTATGAAATCTTTTGTAAGTCGGCATGGCGTAAAGTGAAGAAGTGATTACTATTAATTCCTATGGAAAAACCTCCGAGCACTCCCAGACCCAAAATTCAGCGCAGGCGCAATGGCTTTACTTTGTTCATTACGACCGAAATGCTTACTTTTGTCCAGTTTTGCACTGAAGTGTAACGCCCTTATGAGATCTCTGAGGCTCTTCTGATACCCTAAGGACACAGATTGCTAAGGGACGCACAGGATCAGTGCATATAAAGCCCAGACGCTCCCAGACATGGCTTGGAGCTGGATGCTGAGGTGCCGAGGGCGGTTCTGGGGAAGGAGCTCAGTGGGGCCACTCTTGCTGCTAGGAGACCGCTGCCTCTACGCAGAAGCTCAATGCTATTTGTGCTCTTCCCCTTTGTGGTAAAAGCGAAAATCCTCCTCAGATTTCCTTCAGTTAGCGAAGACAGGCACTGATGTAGGTATTTCATCAATCTTCGTCTTCCTGTATGCCTAGTTGCCTTACAGGAACTAGTTTTGTTTTCACTTGGTTAGACCCCTGCTCTGGATACAGAGTTGCCTTCCACACGGTGTTTCTGCCGACTACCATCTGCAGCCTCACAGGGTTCCTCATCCACCAGCATGGTATTCCACTCCGCGTGGCTTCTAATCAAGGGACTCCCTGCTGAGGAATCCAGTGTGGCAAACAGCCCAGGTTCACGGATTTGCTGGTCTTTCCCGGTTCCCCATCATCCTGAAGCAGCTGACTTGATAGAATGGAAGAACGGGGCTGCAACGTCTGAGATAAAGCACCACTAGGTGGCGACACCGCAGGGTCAGGGCAGTGTTCCCAGGAGGCTGCTGAGACTCTCAATCAGGGTGCAGTACATCGCACTGCTCTCCCCATAGCCTGGATTCTCAAGTCCATCAGTCAAGGGTGGACATGAGTGTGGCCCCACCCACTATCACCAAGGTTACTCCTGGGGATTTACTAGCATAATTTATACTTTGTGTCCATGTGACCTCATGGGCAGGGGTCTTCATTCCAAAGAGAGAAGAGCTTCCACAAGGAAACACATTGATTTCACTGGACTGGAAACCAAGACAGCCGCCTGGCCATGGAAGGCTCCTCATACTTCTGAATGAACAAACAAAGAAGGGAGAGTCTATGGGCTGGGTGAGCAATCCTCATGACCAGCGCAAACTGGACTGCTGCTCTACAGTGAGGATAAAAGTACAGGAGGTTCCTTAGGGCTTTCTTGGTATTACCAGGCCCTGTGGTCAAAGTCAATTGAAAATGATAAGAAACCAATCCAGGCATGACTAGTGATGGCCCTGACCCTTTAGGAATGAAGCTTAGGGTCATCCACCAGGCATGAACCTCTACTGGCTGAGGTGCTCGCTGAGAATGAAGGGAATGTGAAGTGGGCAATGGAAGAAGGCAAATTTAAATCTCAGCTCTGAAGGGTGACCAGCTGCAAAAGCATGGATTTGATTGCCACATCTGTTTCATATTCAGTTGTGAATAAGTTGAAGTGCTTGTATATATTTTATATGTTAGTTAAATTTACATAAATGTAAAAAAATACAGATTGAGTGATATGTGACCCTCATGGCAAACATGGGTCTCTTCAGGGTGACAGGCAGGGTACTTGGACACTGGATGCCCAAAAATGCAATAAATTGTCCCTCCTCTACTATATCATGAGGCACAAGGGTTAGTAAATATTGTGACCTGCAGGATCGGCTCTCAGGAGCTTCCCAGCCCTGCAGTGGAAACGGTCGGGGCACCCTTGCCTTTCCCCTGCCCTTGATTAGCCCTGAACCTGGTACACGTCTCTCTCCCTTTGGGCTGTAGTCACACCTGTCTTTCCTTCACTGGTCGTGTTCCTGGAGGACTGTGTCATGTCAGGAAGGGCCTGGGTTGTGGGGAATCAGCATTGATGATCCCTCCCTGACTGCACAGAAAAGGCCTCCCTGGCACAGCCAGCCTGCTGCATCTGAGTGCAATTTGCACAATCTGCACAATCAGGGGGAGACCACGGAGCTATGGAACTACCATGTTCCAAAGGCCAGGTGGTGACCCCTGGCTCCCGACCTGGGCTGGGTCTACTGGGTGGCTGAGAACAGTGTCTGTTACCCACCAAGATGGGAAGCATTTCCGTACATTACTGTAGTAGGTATGGCCGTGTGCATGCATGCACATAGATCATGAGTTTGGTGGCATCTCCCTGCTGGATCCCCCATGGCCCCGTGTCTCATCTTTGAAAGCTCACCACAGGAAAGGCTCAACCCCCTGGCCTCGTGACATAACCGCAGCACAAGACTGTGGAAAAGAACTCAGCGGTCCCAGGGGGACTACACACTTTATAGCTCAGGCACAGCTGCCCCTTTAGGAAAGTCAGTAACAACACAGGGAGTGTGTCACCTGGTGATGGTCTAAGACCACGGACCTCAGAAGCACTTGTCCCAGAAGTCACCTTGGCCAGCAAGAAAGAGTGTGGGGGTTTTCATTGGCCCAGTACACAGAGCCCTATCCTGGCAAAGGAGAACCCGTCCCTGATCCATCAGGTCCCAGCCACAGAGGAGTGGCCACAATGCAGCTGACAGAGAGGCTGATGGCCTCTAGAGAGTGTCTGCCTTAAACAGAATTGTACAAGGAAGGGCAGGGGTGTGCTGGACATTCTAGTTTACACGAAGCATAAATGTTCATGGAATGAGGCAAAGCTGTAGTCTTAAAAGCTGCATTACAAACCTGTCCCCTGCAGTAGTAACCTGAAGGGAAAGGAATTGGGAGATCATGGGCCAGGGCACCACAAGGATTCAAATCTCACTAAAGGGCAAACGTGGAGCCTCTCAGGGGTCTGAGGAGGGAAAGTCCTGACTGCCCTCATTCCACTTGCACATGATCTTCCTTGTCTTTCCACGTCCATGGGTTGATCCTTTACTTGCTTTTTCCCACTTAGTGCTGATGCAATTCCTGAGACTAAACTAGAAAACTACAGGATCCTAATATTTGGGCAAAAGGAACCTTGGCAAGAGAGGCGAAAGATGTTTCCCCTTTCCCTAAATCGTAGCAGGCAGCCACTGCCCTGGGGCAGGGAGGGTCCCTGGCCAGGGCCCTTTTGAGGCTCCCCATTTCAGTGGCGGTTGCTCTGCCTGTGCCAGCACCTCCAACCTCTAAGAGCCAGGCGTTCTGAGGGGCTGGGTCTGTTCCTGACCCAGGTTCATGACCGAAATGAATGTGTCCTCTGAAGAAGGGGCATTTGGGGTGTCCTTCCATAGCCAGGGAGGCTGGACTGGTTCTTCTCCCTTCTCTCACACTCAAGAAGCTGATGATGCTGCAAGATTTCATAGTCCAAGGAGTAATGTGAGAGTCTGTACCTTATTGAAAGGAGCATGGGAAGTGAATGAACCAAACCACAATGCCCAGGTTGTAATAGAACCAGGACTTTATAATAATATTGAATCTGGCCTTTACTATTGTCAACACAAGGTCATTGGCACTAATTCAATGCCATCGAGAATCCCCATTTTGGGGTGCAGTGAAGAATAAAACTTTATGTGGTACAAACAGCTCAGTTGTGATACAGTACAGCTGTGAAACAGCTGGAAAGTGTTTCAACTCAATTATGAAGCAGCACAGCAAGCCTGTGAGGTGGCCTTTGGGCCACAATGTCTCTGTCTAGACAGCTGTGCTGTGCTCTGGTCTGTTCCACCTGCTCTAATCCAGTACCATCTGCTCCAGTCTGCCCCGAGCTGGTCTGCTGCACTCTGCTCCAGTGAGACATCTTCAGTGTTTCAGCTCCAGCTGGGGAAATTCAGTCCTCAGTCCCTGGTGGAAAAGAGAAGTATGCTCTCCTAGCAGAGGGAGGCTGACTTATCTAGACAAAAGTCCCCATCTGTGGTTCCTGATTGTCCTCATGCAAATAAAGACTCCAAATTCTTGTGGTCTCATCCAAAAAGCACTGTGCTGATTGGTCAGAATGGAACCTCTGAATGGTTGGTGAAGATGCTGATGGGCTATAGCAGCACAGCTCCAGCTGAGCAGGGAAACCCTCAGTTTTATTAATTGAAATACTTTTCCAGGAACTCATTTATAGAAGCTGGCTCAGATGGCAGGAACACAGTGCAGATGGGAAGTTCAGTGTAGGAGACAGGATGTTCAATGCAGGCTTCTCCCTGAAGTGTGGTTTGCAAGAGAGACTTTGTGTCAGAATGACCATTAGGCTCTACTCTTAAACTTGAGCCCAGTTAGCCACCAAGAGGCCTTTTCTGAAGGTATGGCTTCTTTCTCAGGATCTACATTTCCCTCATTTGATCAGACCCTGTCAATAGTTGGTACTGATGATCAACCAGGTCATTTTGTCCTGTGTGGGTGCCAGAGTGGCTTGGCTGCCTTCTCTGGTTCCATCTAGTCCTTGGGTGGGACTCCTGTGGCAGGACAGTAGCCACTAAAGCAACCAGAGCCTTGGTTTCCAAGAGGTCTCTCAGGCAGCTGCCAAACTTGAAAAAAAATTACAGTCTCATAAAAGCAGCCAGAACAACCTGGGAAAAGTTAAAGAACAAAGGCACATAGTTCATAAGAGAAATTAGGGGTAATTGACAAAAGGTATTTGTCACCAATAGTAAAGGTTTTAACCATTACACATTACAAACAGAAGAGATACAGTGGTTTAATGAATCATTTATGTTGTTCATGCAACCACTACTCAAGTTTTCATAGAAAGTTATAGACATTTGGTTACACAGAACATCAGTGGCTTGAAAATGAAATATATTGGACAAATTAGAATAACAATAAGCAAAATAATTTTAACTCAGACTTTAAAATAACTCCGAGAAGCCAACTGAAAATGTCAGAAAATTTAACTAGCCATTGGCACTAGGAGCAAAACTGGGATGCCTCTTGAAGGATTTGGCAAGGTTAAGGAGTTTGGTTGTTTTTAATTTTACCTGAGAAGAAGTATTTCTGCAGGCACAGCAGGAGGTACTGGCTATGGCACAAACCCCTCCTTGGGCTGTGAGCACAGTCAAGGGTGAGTGCTGTCAGGGACTGCTCGGGCTAAGGAGTCTAAAGGTGTTTCCTAGACTCAAATGGCTCTGGCAGTTGAGCAAGCAATGTGATGGACAGTTGTAGTTACGTTTTACATTATTATATCTAGTTGAGCTATACCAAGGACCCCGTGAAAATATAATTCTGAAACAGTGATTACCACTTATCTCCTGAAAAACCTGCTGGAAATCATACCCCACAGAGAGGCCACATGAGTTATGTTCATAAACAAAGGGCTTCTCATTAAGGCAGTAATCTACTATTGATCAGGCCTTCTTTTCCGGGTGCTCAGAACTGGGAGGGGTGGCTGTTATCATGTTGAGGATTATAAAAAAGGATGTCAAGTGACCCAAAAAGCATTGTCCAGCTATCTAGACAATCAAATGCCCAAGGCTGATTTTGTACCACAGACAAAAATATAACCTGTGGGGGCACAAATGGCGCCTGCAAGGATTTATTCACTTATGGATTCATTAACAGGAAGGGAGGTAAGAATGTTTTCCAACCAGGGCTCTATCTGTTTTGAACATCCCTCTAAAAGTCCTTCTCAGTATGTTTGAAGATCGTGGGTTGAACATTTAGGTATTTGACAGTGTGGCTGTTTCCACTTACAAGGTATTACAGAGGGGAATTTCCACAGCCATCAGGACTAATATAGGTGCAACCAGATTTAAGGCATTTACTACTTCAGCTGTGAAAGATAGTTGGGTCTTACCTGGGCTGGGTATGACTGATGCCTAGGGTCCTTTTGGGCATTCACAGGGGAAAGGTAAAACTTTTTTGCAATTTAACTCAATTAGTTCCAGCAGGGGGATGTTTGTTGAAATCAGTAAAGTTAGGGACAGTTGAGAAACAGCTAACAAAAAAAAATCAGTTTTACCAGAGGTAGAGGCAAGTGTCAAATGGCAATCCAGCATTCAGATAAGTCCCATGAGGAGGCTAAGGTTTGAAAGCATCATGTCATAATACTGTTATGCAAAACTTTCCCATTTACAAGGGTTACAACAACAAAAATCAGAAAGGACTGTGTAGTTGAGAGTTAATGATATGTAATAACTAAATATACAACCTAAAACAACGAAGGTGACTGGCTTGTTACAAGACAATTAAGATCACTAATATATCCAGAAAAATGACAACTGTGAAATAAATGTAAGCATTATTTATAGCAGGAGTTTACTTCATTGGCCTGGTCCCAGATTCTGGGAAAAGTCATTGGCTTCAGTTGCCCTCTGCTTTTTGTTTGAGTGTTTCTGTGCTCTGGATAACTTTCATCTGAGGTCTCCTATAGGCTGGGGCATTCAATCAGGTGAATGAGGTACAAGTGTAGGAGCTTTTTAAAATGAAAAACATAGATTCATGTATCAATTCCTATTAACCTTGCAACTCAGGTCAGAGGAAGTCCTTGTGGAGATATCCTTTGTGAACAATATCTTCAGGTCATAGACAATGGTGTTCAATGTATTTGTCTTCTGGGGGTATGCTGTGGAAAGAGTGATCCACCAGCTTCCATTAATTTTGAGAGCCTTTATAAGTCCTTTGCAATAAGTTAGAATGTTTCCTTAATAAGGCAGGTTCGTACATTCTTTGATCTAGTCTCATAGGCTTCCGGTAACAATTTTAGGATGGGCAATTGATGTTCACTGAATGATGTTAAGTTAAGCAATAACAAGAAAAGGACTTTAGGGCAAGGCAAATGAAAAGATTCAACAAGTTTCACCAATTGAGTTTTAACTATCTTGTCAGTATGTTCTATAAGACCAGAGGACTGGGGGTGATAAATGCAATGGAAATGGTGTGATATCAGCCAAGTTTTGCACACCTGATATAGGATTTGTCTAGTAAAATATTCTCTGATCCCTATGGGACTCTGGGGGATTTTCCAAGCAGGAACAAAGCCCTTTCTAGAAGCATTTTAGTAACTTGCAGCTGTTGCCATTTGACATGGGAATGTTTCCACCCAATGAGAATGATACTGATAGATAACCTGTCCAGACCACTGGGAGCAGGCTGAGGTCAGGGAACAGGAGGGGACGCTGGGAGAGACAGAGCTAGGTGATGGGAATGGGACCTGAGAGCCATTTGTACACTGAGCCAAGCTCCTCAGAGGAAGGAGGTGAAATGTTCAGGTACTGAGGGCATGAGCTGGTCAATGCCTTTACAAACCACCCAGGGCCATGGCAAGGACATTGAGTTTCACAGCCAGCACCAGGCTGAACTTCCACAGGACTGCGAGGCGGAGTTATCTGAAAAACTGAACACATGCCTTGCAGATGCCCTGACCCTGGCTGCAGATGCCTTGCCCTTCCTGATGAGGCCACCCTTGGTGCTGCCTGAGAGGTTGTGCAGGGTTCCAGGGTTCCTTCCTCTGCCAGTGGGCCCAAGTGCAGGTAACTCGCTGCACGTGGGAACCAGGGCATGGGAGGCACAGAGTTGATAGAGCACCATGGGAGTCTCCCTCCAGGCCATGATGGCAGCAGGGGGCAGGTTTTACACTGAACATACAAATAGCTAGCAAGATAACTGAATAAGGGGACAATCCCTTACCCCTACCCTTTCAGTACCAGATTGGGGGTAAGACCAGGGGAAGACAGGAACATGCCATAGAAGTCAAAATGACGGCAGGAGAGGGGTTGGACAAAAGAGGAGACAGTTTGGAAAGTTGATTGGTCATTTTGGAAAAACACCTGGTCTGTCCCATACACAAAACTAATATAGTACCAGGAGAACAAAGAAATGTGCTTGTCACTGATTTGATTCCCAGTCAGAGCACATGCCTGGGTTTTGGGCCAGGTCCCCAGTAGAGAAGCAACCCCACATTGATGTTTTCTCCCTCTCTTCCTCCCTCCCTTCCTCTCTCTAAAAATAAATAAATCTTTTAACAAAATAAAAATATAAACTTCACAAGCAAATATAGAAAGTTAAATGGTTAGAAGCAAAAATTAGCTCTTTAAATATTAAGTTTTTGTTCACCTAAGCAAATAAAGACCTCATGATGCAGATGGAGCATGTAAAATCTTTACTTTCCCTTCATAATTTCCTGTTAAGGCATAACCAATAGTATATATTCTTGTCCTTTTAACAGAGAGGTAAATCCAAAATCCAATTTTGTCAGTCCCTTTAAAAAGTACATAAATTCATTCCAATTTTAGTTTGACTGTACACCAGATTTTTAAAAATATTCCTTTCCCATAAGCCTTCTGCAACATACACAAACTTTCTGCAACTTTCAAGGTGCCACTGCAAGGTGGCACACATTTCAGCTTTCTCCTATCTTTTTCCTTTCTTATTCTAGAATAATTATTTACTTTACAACAAAATTACTTTATTTTCCTTCATTAAAAATGTATTTCTGGCTTTTTGGCTTTGGGCTCAGAGGAGGCGAAGGTGCAACTTTCTTTGGTCGTCCCGAATCCGGGTTCATCGACACCAGCTGCCTCCACCATGCCACTGAACTTTGACCCCAATGAGATCAAAGTCATTTACCTGAGATGCACCCACAGGGAAGTCGGTGCCACGTCCACCCTGGCCCCCAAGATGGGGCCCCTGGGCTTGTCTCCAAAAAAAAGTTGGTGACGACATCGCCAAAGCAACCAGTGACTGGAAGGGTCTGAGGATCACAGTGAAACTGACCATTCAGAACAGACAGGTGCAGATTGAGGTAGTGCCTTCTGCCTCTGCCATGATCATAAAAGCCCTCAAAGAACTGCCATGAGACAGAAAGAAGCAGAAAAACATCAAGCATAGTGGAAATACCACTTTTGATAAGATTGTCAGCATCGCCTGACAGATGCGGTACCGATCTTTGGCTGGAGAGTTCTCTGGAACCATTAAAGAGATCCTGGAACCAGTCTGTGGGCTGCAATGTCGATGGCCGCCACCCTCACAACATCATAGATGACATCAACAGCAGTGCAGTGGAGTGCCCTGCTGGTTAAGTACTACAAAGGAAAATATTTCAATTAAAGATCACTTAACAATAAAAACAATGTATTTCTGGACTTCCAGCCAAGATGGAGGCATAGGTAGATACATTTTGCCTCCTTGCAAAACCAAAAAAAGGACAACAAATTTAAAAACAAAAACTAATCAGAACTTCCATAAAATTGAACTATATCAAAGTCCGACAACCAAGGAGTTAAAGAAGAAACACTCATCCAGACCAGTAGGTAGGAGGAGCAGAGACGGGAAGCCAGGGAGGAGAGGACATGTGGCAAGGTGGCAGCTGGTGGACCAGGTGGTCCCACATTTGTGTGTAGATAACCAGGAAGAACAACTGGAGAGCGAGACAGACTGTGCAACCCAGGGTTTTAGCACAAGGAAATAAAGCCTCAAAATCTCTGGCTGTAAAAATCTGTGGGGGTTGTGGCAGCAGGAGAAACCAGCCTCACAGGAGAGTTCACTGGAGAGACTCACAGGGTCCTACAACATACACGAACCCACCCACCTGGGAATCAGCACAAGAAGGGCCCAATTTGCTTGTGGGTAGTGG